AAACAAACAAACAAACAAACAAACAAAACAAAAACCAAAAAAAGAGATATTATGCCGGAAAGTGGTGGCGCACAACTTTAATCCCAGCATTTGAGAGGCAAAGCAGTGGATCTCTGAGTTCGAGGCCAGCCTGGTCTACAGAGTGAGTTCCAGGACAGCCAGGGCTGTTACTACAAGTTGTCTTCTACCCTCTTCTGCACCCTGGCACTCATACATACACTCACACATTAATCACATAAAGAGGATCTTGCAGATGATCCGGTTTTGATTCCCAGAACCTACACTGGGTCTATAACTCCTGTTCCAGGGAAGCCGATGCCCTCTTCCAACCTCTGTCATGGCACGAGGCATGCATGTAGTGCACTTACACAGATGCAGGTAGCTGGGTGCAGTGGTGCACATCTTTAACCCCAGCATTCGGGAGGCAGAGGCAGGTGGATCTCTTGTGAGTTTGAGTCCAGCCAGGGCTACAGAGCAAGATCCAGGACAGCAAAGGCTGTTAACACAGAGGAACTTTGTCTCGAAAAACAAAACACAAACAAACACAGACGCAGGAAAAACACTCTTGCACAAAAATGTAAATTTTGAAAGATTAGAATTTATGTGACTGTGTGTGTTTGTGTGCTTGAGTATATGTATGTTCACCATATGCATTCAGTGCTGCTGGAGGCCAGAAGAGAACATTAGGTCCCCTGAAGCTAGAGTTACAGGCAGTATGCAGTGCTACGTGGAAAATCAGAGTCCCCTCTCCAGCCCTTTGGTCGGTCCGTCCGTCCATCCGTCCGTCCATCCACTCTGTCTGTCTGTCTGTCTGTCTGTCTATCTATCTCGATCTATCTACTCTGTCTATCTATCTACCTACCTACCTACCTATTTGAGACGGGGCCTCATATAGCACAGATGAGCCTCCAAGTCATTATGTGGCTGAAGATGACCTTGAACTCTGATCCTCCTGCCTCTACCTCCTGAGTACATGATGCCATGCCTGATTTATGAGGTTCTAGGGAACTGGAGTTACAAACTCAGAGCTTCAGCTGGGCAAACACTACCACCAGGGCTCTCCTCTCAGCCCTTCTCCAGTTTGTGAGACAGAGTCACATTATATAGCCTTGAACTCATGATGCTCCTACCTCAGCCTGGGATCAGCGCTGGATTTTTTTTTGTAAGATTTATTGACTTTTATTTTATGTGTATGGGTGTTTTGCCTGTATGTGTGTCTGTGAACACATACCCACAGAGATCAGAAAAGGACATCAAATCTCCTGAAGCTAGAATGATTCTTGTGAGCTAACTAAAGTAGGTACTGTGAGTCAAACCTAGTTCCTCTGCAAGAGTAGTCAGTGCTCTTAACCACTGAGTCATCTCTCCAGCTCTTCGTGTGCTGGGATTATAGGCATGTATCCTTACACCTGGTTCCAAGACTTAAAAAAAGAAAACAAAACAAAAAAAGAAACTCACTGTTTTTATACTTGTTAGTGACGCAGTTAATACATTTTACCTATAGTAAACATGCATTTTATAAAACCAAAGGAACAAAGGTAGCCAAATATGAAAAATTTTAAAAAGCCATCTTCTACTATAAATTCTCCAGGGCCAAATAGAAAAACTTTTGTTATTAATAAACCTTATTGATCTTAGCAAAAATTAATCAGTGTTCACTGGGAAAGTAAAGATAAAGATTGCTGTTATGTGACTCCCTTATCAAGAAAGCACCCACTCATCTATGACCATATGCACAATTTAAAAGAACAAAGGGCAAGGTGCACTCCCAACTCAGCATTAATAAGAATCTACAACACCAAAAGATGTCTAACCACAAAGCTGCAATGACTTAATGTTTAACAAAACATAAGTTAGCTTACATGTGTTTTTCATGTCTTTTAGAACATTTTTGAATTGAGAATATGCTATATTTCATAAAAGTTTTTTTTTTTTTTTTTTTTTTTTTTAAGTATTTCAAGATAGGGTTTCTCTATGCAGCCTTGGATGTCTTGGAATTCATTCTATAGACCACAGTGGTCTTGAACTCAGACCTCCCAAGTGAACTTTAATCCCAAGGATTAAAGGTGTGTGCCTCCATGCCAGGCCATAAAAAAGGTAGGAAAAAAACAGAAAGCTGAATGTGAGAACTAGAAAGAGGTATAACTTAGATTAGTTTCTTCTTTCTCTTTCTTTCTTTCTTTCTTTCTTTCTTTCTTTCTTTCTTTCTTTCTTTCTTTCTTTCTTTCTCTTTCTTTCCTTCCTTCCTTCCTTCCTTCCTTCCTTCCTCCCTTTCTCTCTCTTTCTTATTTTAAAAAAAATTTTTTTTTAAGATTTATTTATTTATTATGTATACAGTGTTTTACATGCCAGAACAGGGCACCAAATCTCACAGATGGTTGTGAACCACCATGTGGTTGCTGGGAATTGAACTCAGGACCTCTGGAAAAGCAGCTGGTGCTCTTAACCTCTGAGCTATCTCTCCAGCCCTCTTTCTTTCTTACAACTTAGATTAGTTTTTCTTTCTTTCTTTCTTTCTTTCTTTCTTTCTCTCTCTCTCTCTCTCTCTCTCTCTCTCTCTCTCTCTCTCTCTCTCTCTCTCCCTCCCTCCCTCCCTCCCTTCCTTCCTTCCTTCCTTCAAGGTCCTATATCAAAGAAGGATTAGGTTTTTTTTTTAAAAAATTATTACTTATTTAATTTTATTTTATGTGCATTGGTCTTTTGCCTGCATGCATGTCTATGCGAGGGTGTCAGATCTTGGAGTTATAGACAGTTGTGAGCTGCCATGTTGGTGCTGGAATTGAACCCAGGTCCTCAGGAAGATCATCCATCTTTCCAGCCCATTTTTAATTTTTAATGAGTTATTTCCTGTGTATGTCACACATGGTGGTCAGAGGACAACTTGTAGAAGTCAGTTCTATCTTTCTCTCAAGTGAGCAGTGCACTGGGAACAGAAGAAACTTAAATCACCAGCGTTGGTAGATGGTGCTTCTTAACCTACTGAGTCATCTCATCCCTGTAGCCGTGTGCCTGTGTGTACGTACATACATACATACATCCACATATATCATTTTTGTTGTTTTTGTTTTTTGAGACAAGATCTTATTCTGTACCCTAGGTTGGCTTTAAACTCATGGTGATCTGGCTTACTTCCAAGTTACCAGTATTACAGGTTTGATCTGCCAAGCCCAGCTTGACACTGTAGTTTTTGGTTTTAGACTATCAAGCACAAGCTGAGAAAACAGATATTAAAACTAAGATTGTTTAGAGAGCCATACATTTATTTTACTTTCATTTCAATAGTTTATACAGTCTTCCCACATTCTCATTCTCTCTATCTCTTTAAAGATACAACCTTCGCAGGCTGGCCTTGGACTGTGATTTTCCTGCTTCAGCCTACCAAGTGCTGGGATTATAGGCCTATGCTACTGTACTCCCGGCCCCTTGCTTTTTATGTGGGAATGTTCAAAGTTGAAGTCCTTATTTATGGTTTTCTTGGTTAAGGCCAAGGAAATTAGAGGTTATTGATCAAGTACCCTTTTCACCAACGTTGTGCTTACACTCACTCACTCACTCACTCACTCACTCACTCACTCACTCACTCACTCATTCATTCATTCATTCATTTAGAGACAGGGTCTCACTTTGTAGCCCTGACTGGCCTGGAACTCATTATATAGATCAGGCTAGGCTTCAACAACTCATAGAGATCCAACTGCCTTTTCCTCCTGAGTGCTGTGGTTGATTGGTTTTTTGAGATGTTGCCCGGGAAGGCTCCCAAAATTCTAGACTTAAGTAATCTTCCTGCCTAAGCCTTTTGAGCAACTGGGAAGATAGATGAAACAGTTTCTCATTTTCTCTTAGACCTATTTTTATTATTATTTGTGTTTGTGTATGTATACATGTGTGTGCAGGTGCCCAGTGCCTAACGAGGGCATTGGATCCCTCCGAGCTGTTGTTACAGGTGTTTCCAGGTTGCTTGGCTTATTACATAAGTACTGAGATCTAAGCCTGTCCTCAAGATGGCACAGCAAGAACTCTAACAGCTGAGCTGTCTTTCCAGTCTCGAGAATAGTCTTTATATAATGTTTCCCCAAACTATTTTATTGTGCACTGAGCAAATTATTCAAGCTTCATATTTCTTAGCTGTCAAAGAGATTACTATAAAAACTTTTTTTTTTTTTTTTTGAGACACGGTCTATAGAGGTCTGGCTGGCTGAAATTCATGATTCTCCTGTCTCAGCTCCCCAAAAGAGAACCTACAGATATGCACCATCATATCCAACTCTGCTCTTAAGTGAGGACTCAGTAAGACAATGTATATATTAGTTTAGTAGGAAACAGGTGCCACATTGGGGGGCCTGGCTAATGTGGCCTTCTTGTTTTTTTGTGTAGTTTTTTGAAGGTTTTTTTTTTTTTTAATGCATGTGTGTGTCTCTGTGTGGGTTTGTGCACATGTGATGCTTGTGGAGTCCAGAAGAGGGCGTCAGATCCTCTGAAGCAGCCCTACATGGTGCTGGGAACTGATCTCAGGTCGTCTAAGAGCAATATGCACTTTCTTTTTTGTTTTTTGAGACAGGGTTTCTCTGTGTAACAGTACTGGCTGTCCCAGAACTTACTCTGTGGACCAGGCTGGCCTCAGACTCACAGAGATCCACCTGCCCCTGCCAGAGTGCTGGCATTAAAAGGTGTGCACCACCATGCAGAGCCTCAATATGCACTCTCAATCACTGTGCGGCCCAGACAAGCCTTGATTTCCCATGTGCTGGGATTACAGCCATGTGCTATCATACCCAGCACATTTTATTATTATTGTGTGCATGTGTGTGAATAACGTGAGGGGGCACGAGGCATAAATGCCATAACTGCGTGGAGGTCAGAAGACAGCTTTCTGGAGTTAGCTCTCTTTCCACCATTGCATGTTCTAGCGACTGAACTCAGAGCATTAAGCTTTCAGAAGCACTCTGGCCCACTGGGCCATCTTGTCAGCCTGCGAGCTTCACGTTTACTCCTAGCACACACTCTGAGGAAATGGACCAGCACAAACTTCCAAATGAAACGGCTAACATCAACAGCCATCTTCTTTTATGTATATTCCCTTAACTATATACAAATACTTTCCATCAAGCATGTAGCTTGTTAGCTGCTGAAAGTGATCTTATGGGGTGGAACAGGCAGGACTCAAGACAGATTGCAGGTCCCAGCGCTTGCTAAGCACACATCTGCAATTTAACCACATTCCCATGTCCCTGGGCTTGGCAGTGTATGTCTGCAGTCCCTGCACTAGGGACGCACAGGCAGGAGAGCTGCTCAAGGTCATCTTTAGCTGCACAGTAAACTCAAGGACAAAGCTGGCCCAAACTAAAGAACATCCTGTTTCCCCGTAGAAAAGGCTGAAAGAAGAAAGAGAAAAGCAAATCTGAACACAAGGCTGGGAGCCCAGGCCCTTGGTTCGCTCTCACTGTGACTACTGTCCTGCCAGAGCAGTTATCTGAAATTCATTTCCACTAACAGCAGGAGTCGTAACTTGCATGAAATATTTATTATTTTCTAGGACACCACCAAACCCTTTTCGCATGTGTCTATCCCCAATGCTAGGGTTTAGAAAGGCATATGCCACCACACCTGTCCTCTTTCAGTCCTATGGAAGTGACAGCACAAAAACGTAAGTCCCTGGAACTCTTTGGAGAGACTGAAAAAAAAAATAGCTTTGAGAACCAGATGTTTGGGAGGCTTGAGTGCAGGAGTTGCAATTCAGCAGAGACAGCATGATAAGACCTTGTCTCCTTAAAGAGAAAAGAAGAAGGAAAAAAAAAAGCCGGGCGATGGTGGCTCAGGCCTTTAATCCCAGCACTCAGGAGGCAGAGCCAGGAGGATCCCTGTGAGTTTGCGGCCAGCCTGGTCTACAGAGCAAGATCCAGGACAGGCACCAAAACTACACAGAGAAACCCTGTCTCGAAAAACAAAACAAAACAAAACAAAACAAAAAAAAAAAAAAAGGAAAAAAGAAAAAGAAAAGAAAAAATATCTACAAAGCAAAAGCAGTAAGAGTTCAGGAATGTAAGCAATCTATTAAGCTAACTTAAAGATGTGAGAAGAAACAAACTTATTTAAAAATTGACTGATTTTAAAAACCATCTTTCTCTAAGGCTTCAAGTATTCAGTGCAAATCTAATAGAGCAAGTTTCTCTACATTTCAAACACTCTCATGAGTACCTGGCTTTATGAGGCTGGTTTGAAGTGCAGGGTCTCCAGAAGAAACATACTGACGATCTGCTGTCAAATTTGTATTCCCAGATAGAGATGGCTGAGCTACATGAGGAAAATGATTAGTCTGTGGTCCTGTAGATGGATAGTTATATTGCCAATTCAAAGGTGGCGGTGGGTTGGCTCCAGGAAGAAAGCTACCAGAAGGCATTGGTGTAGCAGCTGGGTTCTGAGAAGTGGGTAGTGGCATTCGGGGAGTAGGACCACTGTGAAGTGAAGGTGGTACTGGACTGGAAGCCACAAGTGGTCTACTAAGAGTCTGCCCAGATCCCTGAGAACCACCATAGTTCGACTGTGCAGAGAATGGATTCAAAGTCTTTGCTGGCATTGGACGAGGGTAGGATCCTGGAAGTTGGGAATCATATCCTTGGCTTGATGACACTTGTGATGACATCAGTGTATTCTGGACAGGACCTTCAGATAAGACAGGAGAAAAATTAGTCTTGCAAACAAATGTAGCAGTGCTTTAAAAAATACAATAGGGAGCCGGGCGGTGGTGGCGCACGCCTTTAATCCCAGCACTCGGGAGGCAGAGCCAGGCGGATCTCTGTGAGTTCAAGGCCAGCCTGGACTACCAAGTGAGTTCCAGGAAAGGCGCAAACCAGCACAGAGAAACCCTGTCTCGAAAAAACCAAAGAAAAACAAAACAAAACAATAGGGGCTAAGAGTGTGGCTCACACAAAAGATCCTGATTTCAACACCCAGGAGCAGGGAACAACAAGTATAGCACTCAGAAGACTGATGCACGAGGATTGTAAATACCAAGATAGCCTGGGCTACGTGCGATTCTGTATCAAAAAATCAAAACAAGGGCCTAAGGAGCATTGGCTCAGCAGTGAGGAACATTTGCTATATGTTGAGCATGGTGATGCACGCCTTTAATCCCAGCACTTGGGACGCAGGGGCAGATAGGTCTGTGAGTTTGAGGCCAGTCTGGTCTACATGGTGAGTTCCAAGCCAACCAGGACTAACCTGGGAATGGTGGTATGTGCTTTCTTTTTTCCCCTGTTGTTTTTTTGAGACAAGGTTTCACTCTGTCCTGGAACTCACTCTGTAGACCAGAGAGGCATGAAACTCAAAGATCTGCCTGCCTCTGCCTCCCAAGTGCTAGAATTAAAGGCATGCACTGGCTTGTGTATGCTTTTAATCCCAGCATTTGGGAGGCAAAGGTAGGTAGATCTCCGGAAGTTCAAGGCTAGCCTGATTAACATAGGGAGTTCCAAGCCAGCCAGGGACTACGACAGTGAGAACCTGTCTTAAAACAAAACATACACTTACACACAAAACCAACAAAATAGTAAATATATTACACTCAGGGGCTAGAGAAATGACTGTGGTTAAGAGCACTGGCTACTCTTCCAGAGGTCCTGAGTTCAATTCCCAGCAACTAGATGGTGGCTCACAACCATCTATAATGAGATCTGATGCCCTCTTCTGACATGCAGACAGAGTACTCATAAATAAATAATTTTTTAAAAAGTTACTTTGGTCATGGTGTCTCTTCACAGCAGTAGAACAGTGACTGAGACAGAAGTTGGTCCCAGAGACTGGGGTATTGTGTGACAGGCCTGACTGTGCTATTTGTTGGAGGAATCTGGAAGATTCGGGGATTCAGACTAGAAAAGCAGCTGGACACTTTAAGCCGGGCTTAATGGGCCATCCCAGTAGGAGCATGGAAGACAGTGCTGAGGGCAATCTGAACTGTGGGGCCAGCTCAAGAAATTGCTGAGGGGAAGAACAGAAGTGGTCTGGAGAGTATTCTAGTGACATTCTGACAAAGAATGTGGCTGCTTCTTGTCCTTCTCCTAAACATCTGTCTGATCTACAGTGAAAAGGAGCAAGTGAGGCAAGAAGGAATATAAAAATTTACAGTTTGAAGATAAAGGAGCACCAGGAAATGTAATGGAGCAAGTCCAGGCTTCAGGAGAGAAAAAGTTTAATTGAACAAGGAAGTCAAGTTCCAGTCCCATCAAGCAGCAGAACTTGGTAGCTTTGGCCATGTGGTTCTGGCTTTAGAGTCAAGGATACAAGAAAAGGGTTATAGAATCTCCCTCCAAGGCTAAGGAAAGACGCTGAGGCCGTGTGTATGTGTGTGTGTGTGTGTGTGTGTGTGTGTGTGTGTGTGTGTGAGAGAGAGAGAGAGAGAGAGAGAGAGAGAGAGAGAGAGAGAGAGAGAGAGAGAGAGAGAGAGATCCCTGCATGGAGGCCTAGAGAGACCACTGTGTGAAGCTGTGAAGGTGAAGCCTGGATTTTACGGAAGACTTCAAGATGATGGAGATGCCAGGTTTGTAGGATACCTGCCAAAGATAGCTGCAGATCAGGGGTGGAACCAGCATCAACAAAGCTGAAAGGAGTTGGAGATCCTTTGATCTCAGACATGGAGATGCAGAATCTGAAGTTTGCCCTGCTGGTTTTAGGTCTTGCTTTGGCCCAATATTTCCTCACTATGCTCCCTTTCCTCCCCTTTGAAATGGTAATGTATATTCTGTGCCATTGCAAGTTGGAAGTATGTGATCTGCTTTTTTATTTTGATATTACAAGGGCTTACTGTTAAGAGAATCCTGAGTCTCAGAAGAGACTTGAATTTTTTGTTTTGTTTTATTTTTTGAGACAGAGTTTCTTTGTGTAGCTGTGGCTGTCCTGGAACTCACTCTATAGGTCAGGCTGGCCTCGAACTCAGAGATCTGCCTGTCTCTGCCTCCCGAGTGCTGGGATTAAAGGCATTAAAACCAATACCCAGGACTGGAGAGATGGTTCAGTGGTTAAGAGCACTGACTGCTCTTCCACAGGTCATGAGTTCAATTCCCAGCACCCACATGGCAGCTAACAACTGTCTGTAACTGCAAGATCTGACCATCCTCACACACATATACATACAGGCAGAACACCAATGCACATAAAATAAAAATAAATAAATTATTAAAACAAACAAACAAACCAACACCCAGCCGAATTTAGACTTTTAAGCAGTGTTGAGACTGAAAGAATATGGGGACTTCTGAAGTTGGACTTAATGCACTTTGCATTACAATATGGTACAAGCTTATGGAAGCCAGGGAGTGGACTGTGGTGGTTTGAATAAGAATGGCCCCATAGGCTCATATATTTGAATGCTTAGTCATCGGGGAATGGCACTATTTGAGAAGAACTAGGAGGTGCAGCCTTGTTGGAAGAAGTATGTCACTGGGAGTGGGCGCTGAGGTTTCAAAAGCCCAGGCCAAGCCCAGTTCTCTCTCTTCCTGTGGCCTGCAGAGGAGGATGCAGCTCTGTTACTGCTTCAGTGACATGATTGCCACCATGTTTCCTGCCATGATAATAATGGACTACATCTCTGAAACTGTAAGCTAGCTGCCCCAATTAAATGTTTCCTTTTTTAAGAGTTTCTGAGACAGGCGCAGCGGCAGCTGGCAGAGGCGGGTAGGCCCAGTGGCCGGCGGAGGCAGGCAAGCCCAGTGGGTGGCGGCCAAAACACAGTTGCAATAAAGACCAGAAACTGAGCTATTCACCGACTGAAAACAGCTGCCCCTGAAGAAATAGCCCAATAGCACCAATTTAACCAAGAACCCCTACTAAACAAGACTAAAAATTAGAACAAGAGAGACACTCTCAGACACAGA